CTGCCTTACAAGCACAAGGAACCAAGTTCAATCCCCGGTACAAAAATAAATAAATAAATAAATAAATAAATAAATAAATAAATAAAATAAAACCAGAAACTTGACAATGACAAAATATAGTTAAATAAAAATTTTAAGAATACTTTTTTTCAGCTATGGAAATCCAAAATTGCAACAAGGACAAGATTACACAAAGATAAACTAAGATATTTTAAAACATAAAGAAAATACTACTCAGCCTTAAAGAATGAGAAACTAGGGTCATTCACAGGAAAATGAATGCACATTGAGGCCATCCTCTTAAGTGTGATAAAGAAGACACACATGTATAAATTCTGAATAGTTTCTCTGGTGTGAAAAACTATAATTATACATAAGATCCTAATGGTATAATTAACAATGTGAAATAGGAATAAAAGGGCTAAAAGTGTAGGGGAATGGGAAGGATAGGGGAAAGGAAATAAGGGAAAAGAAAAAAATATGAGAAAATGAAAATATGGAAATAAAGTTTTTTTAAATAGGGAAGGGAGGAGGGGGTGAAGGGAGGGCAGGGGTAAGGGGAAAAAATGAGAACCAAGACCTGTCATGTAAAGGTACAAGATCCCAAGGATGAATGTAACTGTACTGTATACCTAAAAAGTACCAATAAACTCAATGATAAAAAAAAAGAAAATATAAGATTGAAATATATTTTAAAATCGATTAAACCTTTTTTTTGCAAAGTATGACATGCATCAGAATGTCAATCATGAAAAGGAAGTGAGTCTATGGTCACTTTTTTTTTTTTTGTACCAGGGATCAAACTTGGGCCCTTGCACTTGTGAGGCAGGTGCCGGAACCACTGAGCTAAATCCCCAGCCCATTGGTCATTTTTTTTCCTCTCATGGAGTTTATTGGTACATTTTAGGTATACAGTACAGTTACATTCAACATTGGAATCTTGTACCTTTACATGACAGGTCTTGGTTCTCACTTTTTCCCCTTGTCCCTGCCCTCCCTTTACCCTCTCTTACCTCCCCATTTACAAACACTTTATTTCCATTTTTTTATTTTCTCATATTTTTTCTTTTCCCTTATTACCTTTCCCCTACCCTTCCCAGTTTCCCTAAACCTTTAGCCCTTTTCTTCATATTTCACATTGCCAATATTCATTTTTAATATGGAATTATGAGCCAGATTATATCACAATATAGAAACTTGGCTCCCTACCATTTGAAGAAAAAATGTGATTTGTCACATCCTACCATTTTCTGGACAGAGAAGCCAAATACCTCCTAGGAGATATTTTGTTCTCTTCTTCAGGCTCTGAGAGTGGAACTGTAATAAGGAGTTTATTTAGTGATTACTCTGCATGTCTCTCTGGACTCTGGGTCTTGCATTATTATTGCTCTAAAAACCTACTGTGTCACATTCTGAAAGAAACTGTGGTAGCAGTAGAAAGGCTCTCTCCTTTGTGCTTTTGTTTCTTCCATATTCTTTGTTAGGAACTTTGGTTAGATTTATGAAAGGTATGATTCTGGCATGAAAGAGTGACATTTTACAATCATTTGGGGTAGTTCAAGTGACTGATTACCATAACTTACCATCATACTCTTTAATTGCCATGAATTGAAAGTAGTGACCAGCACCCTAGTAGAACAGTTCCAACCAATTCCTTTCACACTTGCTGTCACGTGGTCTTTAGAGAGGTATAAAGAAATGACATGCAAAATAAGGAATGTGAAAATTCTGAAAATTATACAAAGACTTAAAGTCACCCATCAACATACACTGATATTTGCATCTAAAGAAAAGGTAAACAATGGATAGTTAAGTTAAAAGTGACTTTTTGGTATATTTTATCCAAATAATAATTTTGTTCATCTTTATCTGAGAAAATTCAAATGAAGTGAATCAAGCAAAAACTTAAATATTCATTGAATAGAAAAATTCAAAGAAAATAAAGAACAAACACACAGCTCTTAAAAGTCATTGTAAAAGTTTAAGATATGTTAAATGCGTCCAGCAGCTGCCCAAAACAAACCCCACCACTCTGCAATGTCGATGTGCAACAGAGAAAGAGGAGGGAGATTGAGGTTGTAGGAAAAGATGAGCTGTGCTATTGATCTTTTGTCAGCAAGAGTTCCACTGATCCAAGGAACTGTGCAGGAGCAGGAAGGAAACAAATGCCCTGCACCCAGGAAAAAAGGCTCTTACAGAAGCAGTTGGACTTCTTTGGTTGTGACTAAGGGAAGCCAGGACGCCGTTTATTTAACCACATCCTTGAGCTTTGAGTAAGCCTAAGAAATGACAAAAGCAATATTTGTGCAATTTTAAACAAATCTATTGAACATCGAGAGGCTTTTGTAAAGCCAAGCAAAGGAAAGTGAAGAGGCAGGAGAAGTATTAGGTTAAATGCGTCAAAACTATCAAGGAGAGTACGTGTTAACTCAGATGAAACATGTCTCCAAAGATGAATAGGATGCCTTCCACAGGTTTAAAAATGAAACTCTTAGCAATAGTTTTCAAAAGCTTTTAAAATTACATTTTCACCAATGTTTTACACAAGGAATAATGAGAAGAGTCCAGAAGAGGCCTAGCAATGAGGTGAACATGGCCATGTGATGGATACATCACATGCATACATGTACCCTATGTATTTCTTTCTCTTACACATAGTTGCCTTTTTAAAGATGCATAGTTATTATATTTTTTTAAATTGTGAGATAAATATGTACATATGTATCAAATATAAAGATTTAAGTCATATGCACATCTATGCTTGTCAGTATGCAAGCTACACACATATACATACATGCACATAAACATTGCAAATGCATGCACTCAACTACAGCATTGCAGGAAAGAAAGCATTTGGTGGTTCTGCCTCCTGATCTCCTAGTCACTCTGATTTTAAAACTTATCATTACACATGCTGGTGTTTCACTATTGAATTGATCATTGCTGCTATCTGTCTATTTAAATCAGCATTGCAACAGATCATATAACATAGCATCAGACCACATAAACTATTACACAAGCCTTCCTAACTCTACCAGAGGTTTAAAATTGCTGTGTCTGATGGTGTTTAGTATCACTGGCCTAAGGGAAACATTGGAATTGTTTGGCAAGTCTCATTTTCCATTTTGATGGCATTTTTATCTTGCTAAAAGAAGCTGTATAAAAAAGTACTAGGCAGCAAGGCTGTGGATTTCTAATTGATGCCCTGGCCTTTAAATCTGTCTTCACACAAGCTGTGATGTCCTAAAGAAACACTTTACTCCAGGGGCCATTAGGCAGAAAGGCTCCTTCTGATAAACGATGCTCTGCCCTTTTGATTTGTCCTTCTCCAGGTGGCTTTTTATTTAAGAGGTGCCTTAAAGTAGGAGGAGAGAGGTGGAGTAGGAAAGCCTAAATGTACTCCTTACTATAATCTCTGGCTTAGTAACCCACTTTTCACATTTTTCTTTATGAAAGAAGATAGCCCCTAAAAAAGGAATTCTTTTAATGAAAAATCTCAGACCGGTGATATGCAAATGCATACACGTGCCCTATGTATTTCTCTTTTTAGGGGAAGGATGAGGATATCATGCACTTACCTCGAGCCTAACAGGAGTGGCTTCATGGAGGCAGCTCTGAACTTAATCTGCATTTCATGTAGATACATGGGGAACAGTGGTCTGAGTGTCTGATATAGATGTGAAATGAAAGAGTAGAAAAAAGCCTATGTTGGCAGAGGGATGAGATTTTTAGAGAGAGAGAGAGAGAGAGAGAGAGAGAGAGAGAGAGAGAACATTGCTGTTGCAATAGAAAATAGCCGCCCTTACAGCATAAGAGGGAACAAAAGGGAAAACTTATGGATATTTCACGTTGTTAAAGGAGCAAAGGGAAGGTGTGAGAGAGTTTGCAAGACATTAGGTAATATCCAGCCTCAAAGGAATATTCAAGGGTATTTATCTCCCATCAGAAAGAGCCTGAGTACACAGGAAAAAAAAAATAGATCAAAGAAGGACTGAAGGATGAGTAACAGAGCATTTTATAAATGCCATTTGTTATTACTAGGAATGCAGTGGAGGGAAAAGGGCAAGCCCTCTGAAGCACCCATGGAAACTCCCTTTAGGAGAAAAATTCAACCTTCTGGCTTGAGAGCGGGCAGTTCCGTTTAGAGTTTCTCAGCCAGATTCCCAGTGTCTTTCCTTTTACATCTTCTCTATACCACTTAGGCACCAGTGAGAATAAAAAAAAAAAAAAAAAAAAAAAAAAAAAATTTTTGAAAAAAAAAAAAAAAAAAAAAAAAAAAAAAAAAAAGATAGGAAAATGAAAGAGAGGAGAAATAATAGGTACAAAAGAGAAGGAAAGAATAACCACACTCTCATCCCCAAATGACAGGACACCTGCCTAACTATATAAACTCCTGGCTAACCTACATGCTATAGAAACTGAAATTGAATAATGCTTCAGGCAGAACGCTTGTAAGTACTGACATGACTGAAAGGCTTGACCGTATGTCCCCATTGTCATGGAAAAATCATTTGTTCACCTGAGCATTCATCCAGTGGCAACAAAACCCACGTAAGTACAAGGGGAAGGGGCCTAGAATGAAATGATAGCTGGCATATTCTCCATACATGCTACAGCTTCACAGGGCAAATTCATTATAAAACATATCATTTCAGTTTATTATCACTCCAATATTAACTCAATGTGAGCTTTTCTTCAGCAAGCACTACAGCTAAGTCTATCTTACTGCCTATTTTGTAACATTGCAGGGCTCCAGACTGTTTCTACTGTATTTATTTGCTGTCTTCCTAATATCTGCCAATAGGATGTAAGTTTCTACAAACAAGATTCTTTTTCTATCATATTCATCTCTACTTTCCACAGGCAAAAGCATCTGTAAATGAATGTGGGAACATCTGGGCTGAGCGGGCAATCAGGACAGACGATATGAAAGAAAATCACTGTGACCCAAAGATCTAGCTATTCAAATGCATTTTTTTTTCATTTTGTGTTTTTTGCGAACAGGGAGTCTTATGTTCCAGGAAGGGGGAAGAGACCAATCGCAAATCTGGCCAGCTGGACAGGTGAAGACATATAAATGCTTAATTCTTTTTCTAGAAATGAAAGAGAATGTATAAATTGTTGTACCTTTACAATATAGACAATAAACACGTAGCCACAATAATTATGTTTAAATATATTCACATTTATAAATATAAACATTTGATATAAATATTTAATATAAATATATGTACAAATGGCCTGTTCTTCCCAGTTTCTCTTACTGTGTCTATTTGTATATATAATATACATATATTATATATAATGGAGGAAATAAAATGTGCATCATCCCAATATTACAATATAATATATCGATATATTATTATTATTATTATATCAATGTAATATATTATAATAATATGTGATAGTGTTAGAGTTATGATTCTTTTTTTTTCCGGTACCAGGGATTAAACTCAGGACACTGCACTTGCCAGGCGGGTGTGCACAATTGAGCTAAATTCCCTGCCCAGAATTATGATGCTTTATTTCCTTCATTTAAAAAAATTACAATACTAATAGAGACTTTAAGCTATTGTGATCCTAAGTGATAATTCAATTATCTATTTGTATGCAAGAATATTTTCGTATTTGGAAGAGAAAAAAACTAATGTGTCAAAGATCCTTGACATTGTGTTTTAAGAAAACTTTAGAAAGAAGCCTTCCAGGGAATCCAGGTTTAGAGGTGTCCACCTAGTGGTCAGGATCCTGCAGTACAAAAGAAAAACTCAAGATGACGATCTCGAAAAATGCAAGGAGAGGATGAATGAAAAAGATCAGACAGCCAAGAAGGGTCTGCAAACAGAAAGCAACACAAAAATAATATTTGAGATAGCCTTACATGATTTTCACAAATGAACTTTCACAGATCATGTTTTATAAAATAAAGGAATAATGAAAAATATATATTTAATATAATCTTACTTAAGGCTGAATCTAAAAATTAACATTGTCTACCTTGCTGTATGATATACAGGTATTTTTAATCTATTTATCAAGGAGTTAATGTTATAGATTATAGAAATTATCCTGTCATTTGATCGTGTGAGCTATAACTTCTAAAAATATTCCAACAGGGCATGTTTTATTACTAAAAAAAAAAAATTTCTGCTTAGAAAATAAAGCTAAATTAAATGAAAATATCTGTAGTGTATATTCAAAGCAGAAAATGTAAACTTATTTCCTTATTCATTCTTTATTGATAATAAATTTCAGTAATTTATGAAAAAAGTACAAAAATGCTCCTTCCTCATCTTTATACAGGGAAGGAAAACAGCCATAGGACACAGAACACATCACACTAGGAAGAGAAATCTTGAAGTGAAAACTTACTTCTTTTAGAGTCTCCTTTTCTCTGTCATGAGAGGTGGAGTGAACATAGCATGGAGATCCTAATGCAGCTTTACTGAGTTGCGCAATGGGAAAGAAACAATGAAGATGTATTTTCCTATAGTAGGTCTTTCTTCATGGCAAGGTAAGTATTACAAAGTCAATGATAATAACAGCAAGTTAACCTAAAGCCCTTTGAAAGAAATCACAAATCAATAAAAGTAAATAAGATACAAATAAAGTGGCACATATAACATATCCTGGCTAGTAAAAACTTTAGAAAGTAATGCCAATGCTAAACACAGATTCACAAGTCAATTTTTTTCCTTGGGTTGGAAAAAGCATTTTGTGTATGTGTGAGTGTGTGTGTGTGTGTGTGTGTGTGTGTGTGTGTGTGTGTGAAGAAAATAAGAGATTACAGTTTTTGATGGGCAAGCAGGGCCATAAATCTGCTGGACAAATCACCTTAGACAAATAGACTGAAAATCTGGGAAACTGATCAAAGGCCCAGAATTTGATTGGTGACCAACTTTATTTCCACAGGGATGTAAGACGAATGCCTGCCTACCTCAGCTCCAGGTGCTGAAAGAAAAATCTGCCTACAGCCTGCACCACAGGGCTGTGTGTTCCACGTGTCTGCATTTCTGCCCTTGTTGGACCACTGCTGGGTCAATAATTATTCCATAGTTGGGGAAAAGCATGCTTCAATTTTTGGTAACTAGCTGTGTCTAGATTCCCTCCTCTCCTCTTCTTTTACCTGAAAAGTGTCTTTAAATTGTGCACCAAATAATGACAAGGCTTTATTTATTTACTTATTGTTTATTTGTCTATTTTTATATCCTTTCAGTAACAGGGAATATCACTCTGCTTTCTAGACCATGGCAACCCCACTGTAACTCCTAAGCATGAGGAGTACTTTGGTCAACACCAAAATGCAGAATTCAGTAAATTTAAATTTTAGAAATATACCATGATGAGTGTTATCATTATGGATTCCTAGAATGTATCAATAAATGTTCCAATTTAAAAAAAAGATTTAGAAATATAGGCACATAAGTAAAGATGTATAAATATGTAAACACTGGAAGCTATAAGAAGACAAATACAAGTCCTGTGTCAATTATGATTTCACACAGACTGAATGGAGGTAGCCATGATAAATTTAGGGATAGGTCTAAAGAGACAGCTGGGGATTTAGTTCAATGGTTCCACTTCCTGACTTGTAAGTGCAAGGACCTGAGTTCAATCTCCGGTACAAAACAAATGAATGAATGAACGAACGAACGAAAGAAATATATTTTTAAATATTGAAACTCAAGAGCACTGGGAAAATACAAATACGCACTTCATCTCAATTTCCCGGAAGCTTACACTGAGGCCCTATGCCTTGATGGAAGAGTTTGATATATTTCAAGATGATTGGAAGAAAATATGAATTCCCGGTTGGAGGACACAGAAATGCTCACTGCCTTGACTTGATTATGATATGGTGTGTACCTATATGCACCACAAAGATGTACAAACATTACTTCTCAGTTTAAAAAAGAAAGGTTCCAAATTACTAAGCACTGAGAAGGAAGTGACAAAGAGGAAAGAGGTGGAGAGAAGGAAGGGAATAACAGAGGGCGGTGGGATAAGACCTAGTCAGCGTTTCAGTGGTGTTGTCCCACAGTGCCTGGTCATTTTAATACACAGCTAAGCAATTAAACTTAAAAGAATTGTATCAATTTCCCTAGGAAACAAAATTCCACATCGAATCTATTCAAATCGCAAAAATAGATCTCTCTCATTTAGTCAGCAAAGGCTCCAAAGGAAATGCAATTAAAACGACCAATGAATATATTGCTTTTAGCTGAGAGCATTTCTGTTCCCACTAATTATCATTTGCACATAGGCATGGCTTGGTGCTAAAAGATTGATGGAAAGGCTTCCAGGTTCTGAGACTGTGTCTACACAGGCCCCAGGAATCTGACTTGCTTGGATGGTTTGCTCCTTCCAATTTGCTACAGGCCATTTACATGAATAAACAGCAGCAGAGTTCCACACTCTATGTTCTGCCCCTTAGCTGATCCACAGGATCATGTGAAGCTCAATACTTGTCACTGTTTTCCCTAAAAAATGACACTATAATTTAAACTGTTTAATGGGAGAAATGCTCACACAATCCATGTTAACTAGCCTCCTTGAATTTATTTTGAAAGCTGACCTCCCAATCAACGTTAATACATCTGAGTATATGCACTTGTAGAGTGGGTAGTGGTTAAAGCATAAGACGGCAAGAAAAGAGGCAGTGAACTGGACCAGCTCTTTTCCATACTTACATTTATGTGAGTAGATACAGACATATTGTGCATATGTGCATCTTAACTGTGTGTGTTTATAGTGATTTATTTGTTTGCACAGAAAATAAAGCACACATTTAAAACAAATAACAGTTTAAAGAGCCCTGTCCCTGTATCACTAGCCTGGCCCCCTAGTTCTTAGTCTATCACTAGCCATTTATGAAGGATCCGACAAAACTTGAGGGATAGAGCTTGAGGTTAGCCCCAGAGCTGATGATTACATGCTGTGAAGTGGCTTTGTTCTAATTGTTTAACAATACTTTCGCTCTGAAATTGAGGATTAAATGTCAGAGAATAAGCTTTGTGTGCTTTGAGTCGGGAGGCACGATGTCAGCAAATCACAGGGCACCATTGAATCTATTTGCTTGTGTACAAAATGCTAAAACCACGCTTGCCTCAGAGGACTTTGCGGTGATTATTCAGGAGAATGCCGGCATAAGACAATACTCAGGAGCATCTTGTATGCCGTCTTCACAGGTAGACAGGCCTTTGGATGGAATTTTGCCAAGAATCATGTGAACTAACTGAGATTCTACAGATCAGGTACAGAAAACAGTTTCCTTTCTTCACCCGTTAATTTGCTGTCCTTCACTAATAATTTTGGAGATTAACAAAGTAGTGTTAGATGGCAGAATGTCAATTATTTCTTCTCTGATGGACCAGGAAACAATTTGAGCTTCACCCCCATTACCCACGAGATGACCCAGAATAGAGGTACCATTCCCGCATTTCCCCTTTAGAGATGAGGAAATTGTGACATATTAAATAGAACAGAAGAATTGCAACATATGGAGGTACTAAAAGTCACCAAAATATCAAACAGTGAGACAGCAAGGTAAGTTTAGGTTCTTTAGGTCATAGTAATCAGTGTGAAAACACGGAGTTGCACTTGCTGGTACCTGGTGAATTATTTTTAATCTGTGTAATGCATCCCAGTTGCGAACTATGCTCCACTTTGCTAACATCGCATTGGCCACCCCTCCAGCTCCCCTCCGACGCTTGCTACGCCATCTCCCATTCCACCTCTGCTGCCTACAATCAAGTTCACAGGAAACAACCAAGGTGATCTCTTAAGAAATAAAGTCTTCTCCATCGCAAAAAACTTTCAGAATTCCTTTCCGTCTTTCAAACAAAATCTGAACTTCTTAATCTAGCACTCAAACATCCCCTTATGGAGGAAACCTATATTTTCTCCTTCTGCAAATCAGCTAAATTGTAGCTCTGGAATTGAAGTCCTTAGCAGTCCCTGGAAATGTCTTGGCACTGTCTCACCTTAAGTCTTTGATTGTGCATAGAAGAGACCTCTTTTCCTAATCCTCTTTTCTGTCAATCGAACCCCATCTCTGTCTCTGATGTAAGGTTAAATTTAAATGTAATTTTAACCACCGGGCTCCCCCAGACTCTTCCACCTAGAAGCTGTCTCTCTCTGAGGCAATGTCAGCTTAGAGTTATGCTTCTTGCAGTGCAGTATAAAGCTGTTATGTTTACTGGTGCACATGTGCTTGTGTGAGTGTAGTCCCCTGCGTGATTTTTCTGCATCCATGTGCCATTTTTGCTGCACAACTATAAATTTGGATAAACTAGGTCTCAATATATACAATTGAATGAATGAATGAATGAATGACTCAGTTAACTGTGCTGGCGTTGATGTTTGTTGCCAAGTTAATTTACTTGTCTGATCACTTTATAATCTTACCTAATCTGTTGGTATGTTGTACGTGCATTGAACAAGTAATAGGAGAGAAAAAGACCTAAGAAATTAGAGTACACTAAAGTAACTTGTATTATTGATAGTTACTTCACATGCAACATATCTGTGGGACTTATCCTTATCTTGGTTTTACCAAAATGTTTTTAGTGCATTCTAAGGTTTTAATAAAGATGTTAGCCATCCATTAAACAGCCAATTTTTATCACTAAAAGACTATAAAGAGCCATTCAGCCGTTGATCTTTAAGTGAAACTGGTCATTTGGCAAACATCCCTGTTAAATTTCAGAGGGCTCTGTTAAATCTTTGACTTCTAAAAAGGTCCAAATCTGAGGGTAATAAAAAACTTTTAATAATTAATTTGAGTGTTATAAATTAAAGTGACTTATGAAATACGTATCAATGTACATATCCAAATGAATAGTATATTTTTTATCAAAAGTTAGTTCATGTGTTAAAAGGCAAGTAAACACTCTGTTGCGTAGAAACAAGATGAGACCATCTGAGAAGTACAAAGGGAAGCCCACGAGGCGGTCCCAGGCTGGCACCTGACTCCTTTGTTGTATTGTTCTGAACACTCTGTGACAGTCCCTTGTCTAAAGATGACAGCGTTTCATCACCTTCATGAGATTAAAGCTTCCTTTCAAATACTGGTGCCAACACTGTTTAAGTGTGTCAGCAAAGTAGAAAATTCAATAAAATTCCCCCAGGGTGAGATGCCAATTAGGTCTGAAGAAGCCAAAGTGCTCTTAGGGATGGGGAAAACAGGCAGGGCCACTGCAGATAATGTAAATAGCAAGAGTCCCAAGGTCTCATTTACTCTTTAGCCAGACAAACTTCAGGGTTTTTGCAATCCCTCTTCCTTCTCCTCCTCCCTCTTCCTCCTCTTCCTTCTCCTTAGCAGAGAGGGGTAGATGGTGTTGGATTCTGTGATAAGGCAGCAGAGCTTAAAATTATTCAACGCGTGACAATATTCTTCTTGGATAATGTGTCAAAATTCACAATCAGGTTTAGTTTTTATTTCTGTTGTATCTGGAATTTAAATTGAAGAATTCAGCACCACGAATATTCAGCTAGCTTTATCTGAGAGGAAGTAAAGAAGTTTCACCTTCTCAACATAGGTAAACAACAACAACAAAAATGCATACATGTATGCACATGTATTAATGTCTCTTCAAATCTTAAAATCCCCTTAATCCTTTATATCTGTATGATTCTTAAGAGGCATTGTCACCTTAATTGTTTCGGGAGCCACACTGGTAATTAGGATATCCCACTTCTAGATGTACTGGGGTGAGTGGTAGGACACTGAGGGCTGACCTTAGGTTTTATAACTGCTCTTTTGCCCCTTCCTCTCTAATACACCTCTTCTCTGCGTCCTGGATACCATGAACTGAACATTTTTCTTCCATCCAGCTTCTCTGCCATGATTTCCCTGCCTTGTAGTCAACCAATTATGGACTGAATGTTATGCATTCACATTAATCAACTACTCCTTTATTGTGGATGTAGGGTATTGGGTACCAGCAATAGAAAAGCTCATGAACACTCTCAGTTATTTGGAAATTCATTGATTAATTATATTAGCATTGAATCTTCATTAGTTTTTGGTGAACTGCATTGTAATACTAATAGCA